TTCCCTACGCAATGAAATTTTAAAATACATAATTGTGTTCTCCACACAAAAACATGGTGAATTTTCAAACAACTGGGTTTTATCCCATCTATTCCCCTCTCTCCCACTAAGCAGCATCATGTCTTTGCACAACTCAAGCAGAATTTACATGAAATGGGTTTGGCACATGCTGTCTTATACCCGGCAAAGCTTAAACTGGAGTTTGCTGGATAGTTATGTTTTCTCCTCACCAGAAGATGCTGAGGTCTTTGTGCATCAAAAGCGGAGGGATGCTGCTTCGATGATAGATGTCCCTGTGGATGAAGAGGATAATTCGGATGTACTGTAGCTGACTGAATGGACTGATGTTCAATTTAAAGTTCTTATTTCTTTGATGATGGACTCCAATGCACAGACATTTGAGACTGTCCTTTTTCTGAGAACTTCAGTGCTTGTCCAAGCAGATGACTGACAGAGGATGCACCTTTGCATGACAAATTGTTGCGAAGAGATTGTGGTGTGTGTTTTAGGGTCATTTCCTCTGTTAAATTCACTATAAAATATTTGGGTTTATTTCTGATTAGCTTTTAAGCAGCAGGTTTATCTTGAACAACCATCCTCCATTCAGTACAGCAGGTCTTTGGGCGTTCCAAAGGTATATTTAATGTATTCATGGTGTGGCGCTTTCTTTTGCCCCCTGCCTATATCTATGCTTTGGGGTTGTTCTGTGCTGACAATCTTGAAAAAAAAATCATCTTTAGAAAGGCTGGTTAGTTTGTTGGATTTCTGTCAGAGGAGGGCATGCCAGTCAGTAAAAACGGAGAAGGAAAAAAAAACAAACCAAACACCAAGTACTGATTTTTTTCCCTCCATAAGTAGAGAAAAACCCCAAGTCTCCCTATCTCTTCTGTAATATACTAATTTAATGGAAAGTCTACCTAAAGATTCCAATTCCCACTTCATTTTGCTCCTCTTTGAGGGTATATATAAGGACAGTGATGTTACAGAAGGAAACATGACTGTATTTTCAAACAACTACTAGCTACTCGTTTCATGTTTTAGTAAGACAGAAGTGTATTTTGTTATTATAAAAAAAGAACTTTGTTGAAAGTACAGAAGTTTAGAAAGGTAAAAATAATAAGATTTCCTGATACATTTAACATACTTCCAAAAGTTTTACACAGGAAAGAATGCATCTATAGTAAAAGTACTAACACCATAACACTCACCAACGCATTTTTCAGCTAGTTCTCCTAAGAAAGGATCCGACAATTTGGGGTTCCAATCCCTCGTATGAATTTGTAAAATGTGCTTTCGTGCCTGAATTAAAAAAACAGAAAGGAAAAAAAAAAGAGAGATCAAAAATTAGCAAGCCAAATCCATGTCATAATTTTAGAAAAAAATATAATTTATTCATGTGAGTATAAAGTTATTTTACCTGGTTTTGACATGTCACTGAGAAACATTAAAGGAGAACATAATACTCAAGTCTCTCAAGAGCAAAGATTTTTGCCTTCTTTTTTAATTTCATATATAAGTAATTCTTCAGTATACCAGTTACACATTTTAATTGCTGTTTAATCAACAAGAGTATTATACATGAACCAATCAAAACTAATGCTCTAGCAGGAATTATCATAATTTTATAATTTAATTTTTAATTGCTGCACCTTTGATTAACAGCTTCTACTGTCAATTGCCTCATCAATTTTTTGCTGAGTAGCATAGTACATACACATGAATTCCAAAACTATTCCTTTTTAAAATTCTATAGAACCCAAATACATCTATCAATATGCAAAGTAAATTTAATTTTAAGTATAAATTAATGAGATATTATGGCTGAGTTTATAGAAGTCTAGAACAAGGAACTGAAATGTTCCTTTTGCCATTATAATAAAGTCTGGCTTTACACGTACAATTTTTAGGTGCTTAGCAGTCTACAAGCTATCTTCTCTTACCACAACTTCCAAAACCCCAATTGTTATGGCTCATTATACAAACCTATACAAAACCAGAGTTTTTAGATAAGCAATTCAGTTTAACTTGAACAATCTACCTCTCTGTTTACATTCTGAAGACTTGAAGTTGAATAAAGCTTTATGTAAACTCTCAGTTTGTTTTTACTTAAATTGTCTTCCTAAAATTAAAACATTCTTACAAGTAAGAATGCATATTGTTATTTCATAGGCTTGGTTGTCGGGCACTCAAATGTTTAATATACTAAAAACATTTATTAATAAATCTCCTTTCTAAGTTTTACCTTTTGATCAGGCAAGTTGAAAAGAAATTCCCTGTCAAAGCGACCAGGTCTCCTGAGTGCAGGATCTATAGAATCCAGTCTGTTTGTAGCACCAATTACAACTATTTCACCTCTATTATCCAGTCCATCCATGAGTGCAAGAAGAGTAGACACTATAGAGCTAAAAGAGAGTTTTCAAAAAAAGCATGTATAGAGAACAGTGCAAGAATTTTTACTTTTTCAATTGCAACATTCATAATTTCAAATAAAAAAAACTTACTTAAAAAAACCCCATGGCTTAACTGTTTAAAGTCTCAAAGCAAGAAGGATCCTTTTGATATAATCTGTATTATACTTAGTATTATGACTCCGTTAAGGATTACATCAAATTCTAACTTCCTCCTTTAAAAGTTTTGGGGAACGTGCACTCAGGAAGCCACTTATTGCAGCTCTGAAAAGGGCTCTTCCATTACCAGTGTATGCATCAACCTGTTCAAAGCAACTGTGGCACCAGGCAGAAGAAACGTGCATCAATACAAATCCACATGTTCCCACAACCTCCTAGTCTGCTGGCTCCAAAATTTCCCTCCTGTCCCCCTCAGGTGAGTGGAGGGAGAGATACACACAAATGCCACCATCTATAAAATGAAAGATCCAACTGAATTGCTATAAAAAGTGCAGCAAAACTGAGATTGAAGACAGCCAGGAAAAACTTCAGCCAGCAGTAAACTGTTGTAAAAAAAAAAAAAATTTTAAAAAAATGACACTATAGCAACTCAAGATACATTTGCACATCACTCCATCCAGAATTAAAAGGATAGGGGTGTCCAGTTCATTCATAGAACATTGCAATTCTTCATTTTAGAATTTAATTTGTTTTCAACTGGTTATTCTATTGGGCTGGTAACAGACCATCTGTTTACAGTACAAAACCAGCAACCAAATCTTGACGTTAATAACGTGGATGAAGGGTAATCTCCATTACAATTTAATTCCCAGCAAATTACAGTCTGAAGAACTGAAAAGATGACTTTCAACACTAAAAAGAACTCAACAATCTGTCTTTTCTAGTGTAAGTGGGCTTAAGAAAATGTAAAAACCTTTCTTGGGAACTGAGCAAAATTACACTTAAAAGTTTACCAATATAATGTAGCAAATACCAAGATAATGGTAGCAAATAAGAAGTATTACCTGTGAATCTGATCTTGCCTACTAGAACGAACTGGAGCCAAGCCATCTATTTCATCAAAAAAGATTATAGAGGGTCTCATCAAGTATGCCTGGTATGCAAAAAAAAAAAAAGAAAAAATATAAATTCAATTCACTGTTAATTCATAATTTAGCCATCAACACTGAAAACGGTTGATTTTTATTACAAAGCATTAACATGCTAATTAACATGCTAATTTAATATTGAGACACCTTTGTTAAAAAGTGTACAGTCTGAAAATGAAACTGAATTTTCAACTACAATACTGTTTCAAAGCAAAAAAGACTGCATTCTCCTTTGAGTAAGCAAGATGGCACCAGTGTATCAGTTTTACTGTGTGTTGGAGAGATTAAAGACAAACTGAGACACCTTATACACAGTTACAGAAAACAGTATCTTATCTGCTCATAACTTGTTTGCTTAGAAGTGTCTAAAAACAGCTTTTGTTTGAGTAACCACATTTCACTGTTTTATGTGACTCTCTTCTGTCCATCATCTTCCAAGCCAAATAAGGATGCTAAAATACACACACAGCTGATGCAATCCTGCATCCTCCTCTATGTAGCATTTATCTTGAACGTGCCAGTCAAACTCAAAGTCATGGATTTAATTATTTTTTTTACCCAAACTACTTTGCTCCATGAATGGACAAGTCAAGTGACTTCTTCCTCTCAATTTTCAGATGGAGAAAAGCTGTTGTCAGAATTCCTCTATCTTTTCATCTGAATATCTAATTTGGACAAATCCTGCCCAATCTATGAAAATTTACAGTTATTTAGTTTCAATTACAAATAACTTTAGCTGCCTAAACCACAAAAAACAACATACAGAGAAATGATATGAAAAATATGTATTTTCTTCTAACCTGATCAAAAAGGAGTCGAAGCTGACGTTCAGATTCACCAACCCACTTACTGAGACAGTCTGCTCCTTTCCTCATAAAGAAAGCCACCTTTTTGTCTCCTTGACTGCATTCATTAGCTAGAGCTCTAGCTACCAAGGTTTTACCTGTTCCAGGAGGACCATAGAATAAACAGCCCCTGAAGATAAATGGATCAACACAGTCACAAACTTATTTTATGTCTCCTGAAAAACTCCAAGTCAAATTTATAGTGAAGACAGGGAGCCTGGAGAAGAAAGACTTCTACTATTATTACCAGTGTATTCAACATGACTTCATAAAATCTAAGTTTGTTTTATGCTTTCAAATCAGTAAACCTTTGCTTTGTAGATAACATTAATCAAAGGCATATTAAGCTTCCAAAGGATTGTTTTACACTAGTTAAATACCTCCTCAAATATTAAATCTTAGGTAACACTTGAATCAGTGTTTGTTACTTCTTCAGAGAGATGTACTTCCTTTAAATGACAAAAATATCCCCAAAATTTTCAATTTATTTAGATTATGTGTACCCAGTTAAATCACACACCAAGATGCCCGATCAATAAACATTAAAACCATAATATAACATTATTGAGATTACTTCTATAAAAGAAACATCAGCATTTAGCTTGATTTAGTACAGTATTTGATAACATAACAGAAAAAAGGCAAGATACTACTAAATAGAACACTTGAGAATTCTTTCTTTGACCAAATCACAAAGCTTACCTTCCTATCACAAGAAAAATAAACTAGATTTTCGTAACTCTTCACCCCACTTACTACATTCAGATAGACAAGTGGGGTAGCAAACTTTTAAGTCTACTTGAACAGTAAACACTTCAGGGAAAGAATCAATCTCCTATGTGTTTTCAAGTGAAGCATTCTTCAGAGCTTAATAAAATAAAACACAACAGTAACAGTAAATACACCTACCTTGGTGGCTGAATTTTGAATTTTTCAAATATTTCTGGATAGAGAAGAGGAAACACTACCATTTCCTTAAGTGCAAGGATATGATGGCTCAATCCCCCTATACTATCAAAACGCACCTTAGAAGAAAAACAAAGCATATATTGTAACAGCTTTCCACAAAATTACCTTTACATATAAAATAACATATTTGAAAACAAATTACAAACAACATTGCATTTAACAACAGGAGTTCCCTGAATTTTGAAAGTGTAAAAAAAGTTGAGAAGTCAACTCTTGATTGCCCACATGAGGTTTATCTGGTTCACAAGTTAAATGCGTCAGGGATACCTGGACATCTACAGAAATCCAGCCTAAGCCTGAGAGCATTTTTAAGCTCAGGCACAGCATAACATGAATATAGTCAAAGTACTTCTAGACAATGGTTCAGCTCTAGTAACAATTCAGCAGCTTCTGCACAACACACGTAGGCTAATGTGCATCATTGTTTCTGAATAGGCTCAGGACCCACAGAGCTAGCACTGAGTTAACCAACCCAGGTAGTCAGTACTTTTGTTTCCTGCACTGCTCAGCATACCCCAGTTTCTACTACTACAAGTAATTGCAAAATGACTGTAAACAAACAAATACAGTTGGGCAATTGATATTTTAGCTTATTTACAATATCCATGCAGCACTGATTACCTACAGGCCAAAAGCAAGTGCTTTGTAGCCCAAAGGAATAAACAGACAACATCTCTGGGAAAAAAAAATAGCAAAAAAAGATCTGTGAGCTTATTATAAATTTACTTCAACTCTAATGAGAAGCTGTGGTGAATTCTGGTTATGAGTAATTGGGGGAAGGAGAATAAAACATTTTAACAAAACCTACCGATTTATCAACAATCATAGGGTCAACATCAGCCAAACTTGCCCCAACTTTCACACGTTCTCGCAGGATTCCACTAGCTAAGTCCTCTGCTCTAAAGTTTAAAGGCAGGCACCTGTTCAACAACAACAACAAAAAAACCCATCAAATAAATATTGTTCTGTTTTGATCATTTTGCTGGAATGGGAAGAACCAAGAGATTCTACTACCTAAAGAGACAACCTTCCTGGATTGATAAGGTAATCAAAACAAACCTTTTTATTGTGGGAGTTATTCTTGTATATCTGGAAGTTCCTTAAATATAAACATAATTTGATGCTTCCATACAGATATTTCACTCTGGAGAACTAGGCTGGACTGACTATTTTGATTAAACACAGAAGAAACAACGCTGATGAAAAGAACAGGACACTCTCCACTGGCAGTGATAAACTGAGTAGTTCAGTATGGTAAGAAAAGGATTAACAGTACAAGGAAAACATTTTTTTTAAAACATAGCTAGTAGAGTCCAAAGAAACGAAATAAAAATATTTCTTGCAGATCAGCCATAACTCACATCCACCTGTTCCAACTTCTTAGAGCATACAAAGAAACTTTAAGCCTCTACACAGATATTACATCAGGTCAAATACACAGAGAAAGGTACTAGTAAGATACAGGTTACACTTGGAACTACATTTTGGTAGTTGTACATCTTTGGAATTCCTCAGGTTGGAAAAAGGAATGGTGTAGCAGACAGAAAGAGACAGAAGAAGAAAGATGAGGAAACACTTTTTTTCCGTTTAGTTTTCCAAATAACATTTCTGTGACAGTAAGTAAATTTACTGATACACCTTATAGATTTTCCACTTTTAGGTAACTGGTGAATAAATGTGAGGTCAAAAAAATACATGTTGGGTGTACAGAATGCACATATTACACCACCGGAAAAGAGAAGAGTAAGAGCTAGTATTGGGAGTACTACTGAACTAACTGGGACCAAGTAACACCAAGAATAAAAAAACACTTTAACCAAAGTTGTTTGTCTTGTAACTCAACTGAATGAAATATTCTTATCTTTCCATCTTTTTAGCACTATTTGTTAATTATCTACTCATAAGACTTCAAAATCTATGTTAATGTATAACCAGCAATCTTACACTGTGTCTGCAGGTAATCACAGGCAGAATCAAAAAAGTCTGCAGAACTGATAGAACAGTTCTGCTTGGTTTATGCTGAATAATAAAAATCAAACCCTTCTAAAGACCAAGGATGTTTTCATACCTATTTCTTGCTCTGGCCATGCTTTTAGATTTTCTTCTTTCAAAACGTTCTTCATCTGAAGAGGTTGTATCACTGCTGTGAATGGCATGCTTCTTTCTCCTGTTGCAGTGGCAAAATAAACATAAAACTCAGTCCCTTTTTGCAGTAGAACAGCATGTTTCGATTCTTTTATAAAAACAAAATTGAAACAGCAACTACAGTACTATCCAGGTTTAAGATGCATGCAAATTTTAGTTTTATTAAGTAAGTAGCAAAATCATCTGGTAGGGGAACAACATCTTTTACTGTCACAGGGATCTGATTTCAACATGAACATTACAAAAACAGTAGATCGCCGCAAGAAATGTAGTCTCATAAGATCTGAGGTCCATGTTACCTCAGCGGGTATGATTGAGTATTCGATCAATAAGCTGCTGAAGTTCATCAGACAGCAACTGAACTTAGAAAAGCTTCCAACCACTTTAGCCACCTCCAACACAACAGAATAATCAAGATCTCCTTACTCAGTTTCATGCTTCTCTTTAAACATTCTTCAATAAAATTCCACACGTCCGAAAGCATATGGTCTCTTTTTATGAGGAGATCCATTCTGAACAGCAGAACAGTTTCACAAAACACCTGGACGGTAGTTTAACTTCTGATCTGAATCTAAGTATAATTACTACTCAAAGTCTGCATGAACCACTTATTTTAGTATGACGGCATTTCAGAAAACTGAGTATTGCAGAAATATTAGAGAACAGACATTACATCTTCTGTACAAAAAGGCATCAGTGTGAAAAAAGTCAGCCCGTTTTTTGCATTAAAAAGTTGGCTACTAGTAAAAATTCATGTGTTTTTAGTGAATATAGTGAGCTGTATCATTTGTATGAACACGGTAATACACTGACTAGCTGGTTTTTGCCAAAGGATAACATGGTCAAAACATGGTTTTACTGTTTGATGACCAAAAATTAGATACATTTAAAAACACAAAGAGACTATCATGTAATTAGGAAGACTTTTCATGACAGTGTCCTGTCAAGAAGGGAAAAAAAAATGAGTGGAGCAACGAGCATGCTAAAACTGAAGGGATAATAGCTTTCACACTCTTTATATCTTACTAGCAAGTACAAGTCTTGAGATCACCCAACAACATGTCATATGCTCTTTAAGAAAAAAAAAAAAAGCTCTTTAAAATTAAATGTTTTTATTTATATGACAAAGAAACTTGTAGAATCATAAGATTCTGCTAGTACTTTATTTACTTTTCGTATTTTCACTATGACATTAATTTAAGCAATAAGAAGGCAAGAGTTTCAGCTGAGACTAGAATTTGTTTACTTGGATTCTGTTCATGGACAGATTTATCTTTCTGAAGTTTTCAGTAAGTTTATTTTTTAAAAAATGTATTAAGCTTGGATTCTCATCTATTTTGTTAAATAAAGCCTATCGACAGTTTCCAAGACAACTTGGTGTATTCCAGACAACTTTGACACAAAAGATAAGAGTCAAGAATGATGCTTGGCAAATATTTTATTAAATTGTTAATATTACTTGGATGAAATTTGAACTGGAAGAAAACAAAAAACGTGAGCCTGATTTGTTTGTTTTCGTAGAATAGAAAGGGGATACTTGTTCAACTGCTGCTCTGGATTTAAACACTAAATATACGCCCTTACAGAAAAAGCTACAGTGTGCAATGCGCAACTCTTTCCAGTACTTGCAGCACACCTGTTTCCATTCTGTTTATCACAAAGCTTCTACTGGTATTATGAAGCACTAAGAAATTCATCTTTGTATGCTGATCAGGATCTGAACCTAAGATACAATTCAAGACCCACGCACACACGTGAATGAACTGTACAACTCACTCAAGAATGTTTTGCAAATCAAAAGCCAGCAGAAATGTACTGAGGGAAAGCAAACAACTCTGTACCAAAAGACTGACATTTACCTGATATGGCTTCTTCTCGCAGGAGATCTGTGAATATCAAACAGTGTATTTTCCCTCTTTTTTTGATGAGCTGGCACTGAGTAAGAGAAGATACAAGTTTGTAACATCAATTACAAAAGAATAATAAACTAATTTAAATGCAGCGCAAAAGTGCTAATTATTGCTTTACCAATAACGTTATCGCTGGTTTCTCTGAAAGCTCAAATTAAGAAAAGAACTGGGGGGGTGGAGGGAAGTCAAACCTCTTGTGCTTTATTTCACTGTCGCCATACTTGGCTTGATACAGTCATGGGAATTCCATCCTCAGCCTCCTCAAATCATCACAGCTGTGGGTATCATGGCACAGAATGTAATTCACGCCAGGCACCAACATTTTCAGTTTATTTGCAGGACATGAAACCCCATACGGAAACTTCTTCACAGCTGATAACACGGGATGTCTTGAAATTTCTCTTAACAAATAAACCACAGCATTTCCCTATCGCAGTCTTAATTTCCAAGCTGCCTTAAGATACAGCACACTGCGTACATGACTGTGATCTAAACCAAATATGCACAGAATACTTGATTTTCAACAGAAGCATTAAAAGGTTCAAAATTAAGAGACGCTATGCTGAATCCTATATCAACCCCCGATGCTATATCCTGTGAGGAGTGGCTGAGGACTCCGGGTTTGTCTCATTTGGAGAAAAGGAGGCTGAGGGGTGACCTCATTGTTCTCCACAGCTTCCTGAGGAGGGGACATGGAGAAGGAGGTGCTGATCTCTTCTCCCTGGGATCCAGTGATAGGATACGTGGGAATGGTTCAAAGCTGCATCAGGGGAGGTTCTGACTGGACATCAGCAAACATTTCTTTACAAAGAGGATGGCCAAGCACTGGAACAGGCTTCCTAGAGAGGTGGTCGATGCCCCAAGCCAGTCCGTGTTTAAGAGACATTTGGACAATGCCCTTAATAACATGCTTTAACTCTTGGTCAGCCCTGAAGCGGTCAGGCAGTTGGGCTAGATGATAGTTGTAGATCTCTTCCAGCTGAACTATTCTAGTCTAAATTTCTCATCGAGGAAAAATGTGATAACTGCTGCTACGCAATTTATCTACAGTTATGAATTAGGCTTACCACTTAAGAAGAGAAGTGGGCATAACAGTAACTATTTTTTCCATGTAATTACCTAATTAATTAGGCTGCTTTCTGAATTCAACTTCTGTCAACTACTTATTAGCCTAAATCCTGTTCACCTCCAACCCTCCAACAGCACACGGCAACACCTGCTGCAAAGTTCAATGAGGCAGCACGCACTAGCAATGCCACCAGCATTGACAAACCGATAGACTGTCTCAGTAGTCCTATTCACATCATGAACAAAAACAGAGGCAAGACGGAAGTCACCGAGTGCTGCATGGGAACTTTGTCAGGGATGAGGAGCAGCCATCCAACTTTTCGCTTCCCACACCCACAGTGTTCTTGGAGGTCAGCACAGCAGAACTGCAGAAGCACTGTCTAGTTCCTCACCTATTGGAGGGGCCTGGTATCTTTCAACAGTTTTTCTCTGTCGGAGATTATACGGCCGATCATTTTCTTCTCCCTCAGCTTCTTCTACTTCTATATCTCCATCTTCTTCCTGAGACTCTGTTGGCGGGGGGGGGAAATATTTTCAGAACACTTCTACTTGATGTCAGAGCTACCTTCCTCCTAAAGATTAACATTTTAATGGTCACTGAGAATTATTCCCTTCTTATTAATTTATACTACTTGGCAAATGACTGGAAATTTGAAGACCTAGATAAATCTATAGCACATTGCCAAATTTCCTTCTAGTCTCCTGCAGAAGGTTCAGGAAAAGCAACAGAAAAAACAATAAATGTAGTCAAATTAGTTTTAACTGTAAAATACTTCAAATATCACTTCTATCCACTATCTTTTTCCTTCAATAATTAACCTTCAAATTAAGAATAATGCCTTTCTTCTCCTTTCCCATGGAAGCCTCAGAAAATCAAATATTTGACACCGCATGAAAATAAGTACAACTTTACGATTCACAATATCATTTTTACACAAAGCAAATGAACACACTGTATAAAGGTATCACCTAGGTCCATGTATTAACAGGATCAGAATTTCCATCCGTGGGTCTCAGAATTAAGTCTGCATTCTTATTACTTGGGACAGACCATACCTCTTACAGCAGTTTCAGTTCAAAATCGAGACACACTACACTGAACCCTGTCTAGATCCTGTGTGGAAGTTTGAGTCTGATTTCTTAAGGAAGCCAAGCATGTTGCTGATCACGCCATCAAAGTTAGCCATAAACCCTTCTTTCTCAATACTTTTTGAACCCACAGACCAGTTTCATCTAAATTTTTAAAAGAAGGTAGAATTTCAAATAGAGTTGTTATGCCTTCTAAAATTCAGCAGATAGATAGAAAACAGAGACTTTAATTAGTACCTTCCCCAGAGGAAGGATGCAGAACTGACTATTACACATTCCTTCTGGTAACTGCCACCTAGCGCATGAGAAATAGCAAGTCAGTTAGAACATGTATAGTTGCAGACTACATGCATCATGTCCTGGCTTCCACCAGAGGATTGTTACAAGGAATATAAGGAAAGCTCCAATTACTTAGTTTTACAGAAAACATAAGTAAGAGAACATAGTATATAAACATTCAGAAAACAGGCTTTGGTTTGCTACTTTCTGATAAACCTGCTTTCATTTAAGCACAGCTATGTAGAGATCCCTAAAACTTCTCCTCCTTCTAAAGAGGAGGAATCCTTCAATGTGTACTTATTTGCAATAGTCTTGTTAATTGGTCTATTTAATAACTCCAAATCCAGATCCAAAACCAAACTACTTTCTGGAGCACAACATATTGCTATCTTATATTGATGAGAGCTTTGTTTTCTAAGTATTTCAGACAAACCCTTACAATTCTTCATAATCCATACCTTCTTCTTCCCCTTCTGTGGACACTTCATGGTGGTTCTGAATCCCATAGCTATTTCTCCTCAATGATTTCCTCCTCCTTTTCACTCGAGAATACATATCCATGTTTTCCTGGAATAAAATTTATGTATGTTCCCATCAGTACTGTCATCCCATGTCACTCACAGTGTTATCTCACAGTTCAGTAAGTAGTATTCCACTGTAGCCCCCAAGTCTTTTTCCAACAGAGCGCCCCAGAGGCAGACTACAAAGGCAGTCTCATTTAATAGGTGGTAAAACAAGTCTCTCAGATAGTACCTAGTCCATCTAATACATAGTTAACATCAGTATCAAGCTATTTTAGAGAACAAACCAGATGACAGTCCCTGGTTCTGTTTTCAGACTACCACAGTGTGATTCACACCAGAGAAGAACCACCACAGTACATCATGAGAGCATGGCAGTCAATTCATCAATGAAGAAAACATGATTTAGTATAAATCCATTCATTTTGTTCTGGATTTGAGTTTATCAAGTTTTTTAATGTCACCCACTGAAGAGCATCTGAAGCCTTTTGACACAGCTACAGGCAAATGTATGGAGATTGCAAAAACAAACACGCTCCCCCTTGATAATACTTTTATCCAAGATCTGAGACACTCTGCACTTACAAATTCTGTGTCTGTCCACATACGTAGCCGTTCTACTTCCCCAGACCGCCTATTTCTCCTGATGTTAATATTATCCATTTCCTGTAGGACAGCTTCAGCAGTACTAAAATATATGCAACATTTAACAAAAAAAAATAATTCAGTCTTAAAACGGTAGATATGCAGAACTTTTTACATAGCATCCAACAATTTAACATATCTAATTCTATGGTCTGTTACAGCTATTGCAGAGTCTACAGATCAACTAAATATAAAAATGAATTAAAATCTGAAAAATCTAGCATTGAATCTATCAATTAACTACAGAACCAATCATAATAAAGAAAACTGAAATACGAACCTACAGAATATAAACTAAGGAGTATGCAAGAGAAGAAATGCTGATGCTATTAAAATTCGGGGTTCAAATTAAGCTGTAGCATTTTTAAAAAAAATTAATTTTTTTTTTTTTGCTCAGTATAAATTGTAGCATTTAAATTTCTAATTGCTTAGATGTTAGATTAGGTGTCAAGTAAGATTAAGTTTGCCTCAAAGACACTAATACACAAGGGATTTTTTTGTTTTAATGTTAAATCTGTAACATCTAGAATTTCATCATTCATTATTTGACCTCACTACTCTACCATTTCTCATCTACTATTTAATTAGTCTACATTTTCATTATCTGAAGTATTTGTAAACAGCTGTCAAAACAATGGTGGTGTATAAATAATAACCTTGGCCAAGACACTTCATTGCTAAGAAAAAAAAAACCCAACAGAGTATTAGCCAGGACAAGTCAATTATTTGCACACCAAGTTACTGCTCTCCATAGTGATTATGGTAGATGTCAACTGGAATTCTACTATAATTGTATAATAATTGTAAGAAGGCAGAAACTTTCACTTCCTTTCTTTCAAGGTGTTTAAAAATAACTCTAAAGAGTGAAATCCTGCCTAGAAAGAAAGTCAATGGAGGTGCTGGTGACGGAAGTCAGTAAAGTCAAGATTTCATTATGAGCGCCCCTCTCAATTTTAAACAATTCTTCTAAAATATCTGTGATGTGTGACATCACTTCAAGCAAAATCATGCTATAGTTTGCTATCAAAGAAAAGAGGGTTGGAGAGGACCTGGAAAAGTCCACAGGCTCTGCCAGGCAAGAACAGACTACACAACACCTAAGTCATTCCTGACAGACATTTGTCTAACCTGTTCTTAAAAAACCTCCAATGATTATGGGACACACTGTTATCAGTATAAGTTCATATATAGACTTCAGTACCATGATCTTATCAAATTACAATCTTCATGGTAGACTTTTTCCTATTGTTGATGAGGAGAGGGAGATTCAACTGCAACTAGAAAAATAAATGTAACTCAATATAAATTTGTAAACTGATACCAAGTAGTTACTGAGTAAATTGAAAAAGAAAATTAAATTAAAATTTATTCAACAGAATACATTTAACAATAAAGATCATACTTGGCAATTAAATGCTTATGTTTAAAACATTTTCCAAGCACTAGAGCAAGCAGACTCTCACAGATGTGACTATTAAAACCCGTTTTACAGGTGGGAAAATTGAGACATATTAAGTGACCTGCCCAAGGCCACATAGAAATAATATTTCAAGAAAAGTATTTCTGGCTCCCATTCCTATGCTCAGACCAGACCATGCCTCCCTCTCTGACCTACTTTGTCTGCACAGTAAATGTCAAAAAGTGACACCCAGCCTATGTGAATTAGTAACAAATGGTAAAAAACCCAGACAAAAAAAAAAAAAGAAAGCTACAAACTTTTGATATTTTATGATTAAAATCATACAAGCAAAATCTAGAAAGCTTCCAAGCATTGTTGCTAATCAGCAATTTACATCACATTTAAGGTATCACTACGTAAACATGTCACTGAGACAAACCAGGGTGTGGATTTACAGCATGTCAGCCACTCTGCAATAACCGCCAACGTACAGTTTTATCCAGGTGTAAACACAGAGTAGCTTACTCCTCAATGAAAGTCTGGTAAGTTGCTTTGAATTCAGAGCATGGATAACATAGGCAGTTACAGCACAGGACCCAGCCTGTAACTCAAACCACAATCTAGCTTGCCTCGACGCTAATACATTCCCACAGTAAAACACATAGATGGCACTGGAAGACAGGGTTTTCTAACTCTTTAAAAAATCATTAAGATGCTTTGTGAATACAACTGAAGTATCCCCACATACCTGTTTACTAGCTGATCAAACAATAAACTCTGATTCAAAGTTTCAAATCTGTTTTTCCTGGACCGACAACTTTTTCTGACTTCTATATCTCCGTTTATGCAAGCATGGTCCCCATCTCCCTTTTTTTCCCCTCGAAGGGGATGGCTTTTGAGAGCTAAGAGAAATTTGTATTACTACTTCAAAAAGCAGGAAACAACATTTTCACATACAAGAATTAATAAGAGAATACTTAGCAAGGACAATAAACCAAAGGTTATGGAGCACGGTACGACCACCCTTATATTCACTAAAGAAATATATTTTTTAAATTCCTAACAAATTTATTTTACAAGCTATTTCTTCACACTAGAGCTTGTTTCCTTATATAATAATCTTATTATTAAAATTTGGCATTCAAATATCCAATATTTTTAAGTTAACAGCAATTCTAATACGCACACTTGGCCCACAGTTTAAATTCTTAGACTTTCAAATACATTATCAAAAGGTCAGATGCAGCATATTGATTTCACAAGCACATCTATATCAGCTACTCTGTACAGTATCAAACAAAAAGAGATCCCACTCCTGATTGTTCCTTAGGCACCACAATAAATAATAAAAATACGCTTAATGGTTAACACTTACATACAGTCAACGCAGAACTAAATGAGACAGAATTGATGAAAAAGTGATACGAAAGACAAAGTGGTTTTAGCTGAGATATGCAATGAGATGGCAAGTTTGTACAAGCATATAGGAAAATTGTTCGAGGTAGCAGGAGTTGCAGACAAGGCAGGTCTCTCTAAAGCAACAGTAGAGTTAAGTAATGTTAAGAACCACAGAAGGCCGAATCTTAAATGAGCAAAAGAGTAAGTAAATTAAAGAGACCAGGGGGGAGAGGAAGGCCAAAATTAGTTCGTAACAGTAAATTTAGGAGTTAAGGAAAACATCAAGATAATGGCGAAGAGGTCTGAATTGAGAAGAGAAATGGACTTTCATCTAAGAATGTTCCCCATGTCCACAGAGAGCATCAAAGATGTTGACAGAAGAAAACTGAGCCAAAACAGTAACTTTTCTGTTCAAAATGGTCAGAGTAATCAGTAAAGTTATTAAAAATATATGCAACTGAAAACCATTGACATAAAATTGTTAAATGTAAAAGTAGATACAAAAGGTCCACTGTAATACACTTACATAAGCTACGTCCATTTGGTAGTGTAGCACCAGGCTGAGAAGTTAACCTAGGAAACAATTATATTAGACACACAAATAATGTTAACGCTCCTCAGCCAAGCAGAAATTACACAGCGAATATAGAACTTTAAACATAGAATGTTTCACGATGCACAACTTCAAAACCTTTGTGACACGTAGCCTCTGAAGAGTCTGCTCCATGCTCAACATTGGAATGAGGACAAAACTGCCAAATACCAATTACACAAATCCCCCAATTATCTAAACATCTCTTTTATTAATCCCTCCAATGTTCCCTCATGCCATCTCCTATTAGTAACGCCCCCCTTAAATTTCAGAACAGGATCTCCATATAGCTCTTCAAATGCAATTACCTTTGGATAGTTACTTTGGATAAACTAGTAGAAGGATAAAAAGCTGTTTTGAACTCAAAAAAAAGAATAAATTTAGCAAAACTACCAGCTCAAGTGAATGGGATTAATTTATGCTGGGTGTACTTAAAATCAGTAAAAAATATTTTCATTTTCTCTATCAAGCTGATACTTGGAATTTCTTTTTAAATTAACTTTTAGGAAAATTAACCCCTACTACTTCATAGTCAAAGGCAAAAATGTGTTCCAGAGTTTTCTATTTTATTGCATTAGCACTTGTTACTTCATTCATTTTTTATCTTTAAGAAACTGAAAATATTATTTATTAGACATGATTTTACTGAAAGACAATTTAGAATAGAGTACAAATGAACAGAAACTGTACAACCACTGGCAGACTATTAGAAGTAATTTGTCAACATTGCTATGCAAAGGAGCAAAATAAATCCAGCAAAAGGAAAAAAAAAAAAATCATCCCTCTTCCACCCTCAGAAACACTAAGTACTTTACAGGCAAGTGAACTGTATATACTGCACACCAGTACTGGATAGGGAGGAACTCCTTGTTCTCAAACCAGAAAACTAAAATGAATTTGATGGGAAAGAGAAAAAGGAGGGGAAATGTTAATAATACCAAATGCAATCTGAGCTTGAACGTGACCAAGAGTTCAACAGACTACAAGAAGTTCAACTCAGAGGCACAGAAGATGTGGGCTTTGCTAAGAAATTTCTAGAAATTTCTAGAAAATTTCTTTGCTAAGAATTTTCCTAAGAAACGTATAACAAAACCTTACAAAACAAAGGTAACCAAAGGATTTTTGCAAGGGTTGGGTAGCAACACAGAAAACCACGTTTACAAAAATCACGTTCACATCCAACTTTCCAGTAACATTTTTGTGGTCAGATATTTTAAGTATTTTAGAAATCACAACTGAAGAAATGAAATTTCATTATAATAAAAGTTTAGCAACAAAACTTTTGGGAAAAGTCTTAGCGACTCAAGATCACTATTAGGCCCAGCTATTTGGATTTTGGCAGAAAAATGACAAAAAAAACCACTCTCAAGATGCAAAGACATCACAGTGGGTTCTACATGAGTAACAACATGAGCTTCAGTATCCTGGCCAAATTTCAATTGCCACGGTGATCTAAATTCTCCCAGCTACATTAATTTTCTTTTTAGTCTCTTAGCATTTCTAATAGGTACAGTATAGTCTACACTTATAAACAAAAAAAAATAAAAATACAAGGTGCATGAGTTTCAATATATTCCCAGGCAATATTATGGCCATATTTAATTATATAATATGCTATATTTAATTCATCCTGTTTTAAAAGGGAAAAACAAACAAAAAAGGGATCTATTTTAAGATTTACATAGTTTTTAAATATACTTCATCCTAGCAGAGACAGTCCAGTAGTAAATTACAGCCATTTTTACATACAAAGCATTGCAAGAACAATTTTGATTTGTACATAAATCTGAAATAAGTATCTACAAAAGAATCAGTATTAACTGAACACTCATGTCCCGGGTACATACTGTCTACACTGTCTCATAATTACCTGTAACCATGTGAAGAACGTTATGAACACAAGAATGCTGTGTAAAATATTAATCAGAGTTACAGAAGGAAACAAATTAGTTCTCTTTCAAGTTATAAAAATGTGGCAGGTTTGAGGCTATATTTAATAAAAGACAGTAGTTTCCTTGAGTCTTTATAACCAATCAGGGAAGAGAGGCTGAAACAACAATGGAAAGAAACTTGACCATTATCCATTCCTTAAAGATGATAATACTGATTTCCTAATTAAAATGTCACGTCTTCTTATAGCTTGAGTACATAAAAATACCAACTAAGTCACTAAATATGGATGTATCAAGAATCCAGAATTCAGACTGCATCTCAAATAAAATTACTTTCCAGTTTTGCACAAATTTGCATAGAAAGGAAACACAGAGATGACAGGATTGATGTAACCCACGTTCTGGAGTCTCAAACTAAAAGAAAATTGTATGAAAGTAACACACTTCAAAAATACACTCTTGAGCATGAACTGCAGCTCACTGCAGAAATAGCATAAGTGGATTAACAATACAGAAAAAATTGGTAAAACTTCATTTTTCTCTTGGCACCACATTACCTGGACTGTCCAGTTGAGATGCTCCATTCCTCTCGCTGCCCAGTACTGCGTGATTTTGATTTGTCTTTGCACACAGGATCAGCATGTTTTGAGGTACGTTTGGCGGGAGGAGATATGTGGCTATCACTCAAACTAGCATCACTACCTTCATCTTTCTGAAAAGACAAAAAAGCATCAGACCATACTTAATTGACTCATTTGTATATATCTTTACTGAAAAAGAAGAAACTTAAGCTTAGTAAAAGGGAAGTCTCTATCAAACTCTTAGTAAACAGCTTGCGCAAAACGTTAAAAAATATTATTCTGAAAACATCACTGGAAACTATGAAAATACTTAATTTAAAATATTAAACTTTTGTATAATAGTTTACATTTATTTCTGAACAAGCATTCTGGTTCTCTAACCCACTGTATTATTGTGTATCATACGTGACGCTGCTACTCCTACCTACCTGCAAAAGACCTAACAGTGCAAGCAGAGAGAGAAAGATGACCAAGGAAAACAAAGATGCTTAGAAACACAGCATGAATTTATTCTGCCAATGTTATCTTTGTCTTTAAAATGCTTAAACATTCACATTGTGCTCTTCCTTCTTGTAAGAGTTCTGCAACACCTTGTTCTCTTCTTTAGACTGTCAAACACACAGCTAGGAGTAACCGAAAGTGGACTTCACACTTTTACAGCACTTTTTGTCTAATGTGTTCATTAAGAACATTATACACACTAACAATGTTAGTCTTAACACCTTTAAGAAGCATCAAACCACTACCAGAGGGGTTTTTTTTCTGTTGCGCTTATCAAAGGTAACGTAGACAGAAACTGAAAGATAGTAGCAAGGGATTATTTCAGAGCTGTACATAAAAAGTGGACATACAGCAAACTTTGGAGGATCTGTTAAGGTGAGCTACAAAAAAAAAAAAAAAAATCAAGATTCTATAAACCACAAATTTTAGCCCATGGAAACAGTCTTGATTAAAAAACCTAAATATCCTTTCTTGCAACAACAGAGTAACCAAATTCCAAATATTAAGGCTCAAGAATTGCCAGTAAGCACCCAAACTAAGAACAAAAGATAATTTTACTTATATGCAAGGAGATAATCACGGAAGCCCCGTTTGTTCATCAGGCTTATTAATAACAACAATCTGATCTGTACTCCAGATAATTCAACATCATGATGTCTCACGCACTCAAGAAAATTTAAAAAAAAAAGTATTTTTCTTAAGAGAGGAAGACAGACTACCACAGCACAGCATTCAGAAAGTTGCAAAGCCTAAAGAAATCCAAATGCACGGGTGCAGTTCAACACCAACGAACTGGGGACTGGTCCATCCACTCCCTTGCCTGGCCACAGAGCACCACTCCCAACCTCCTTTGACCTTCTTCTGATGCTTCTCTGACCCACCCATAAACCAAATCAGCTCACCAAAGCTTCAAAAGCTCACTTCCCATCTGTTAGATTAGGTTCCTACCTGGTTAGTGAGCTGGATCATTTCACTGAGGGATCAGACAAGTAGAAAAAGGTAATGCAAGAAAAAAACATGAGGTGAGGAGAGGACCACTGTCTGCATCATGCCTGAACATTTTGTCCCCCGACATGTATTGTTAACAGATGTTAACTAATATTAAATACTTATAAAACAACTAATAAATTAATAATTATTATGATATAGTATTTATTTACTGAATATCATAGAATTGTTTAGGTTGAAAAAGACCTTTAAGATCATCAAGTCCAACCATAAGCCTAACACTACCAAGTCCACCACTAAACCATGTCCAAAAGTGCCACATCCATATGTCTTTTAAATACCTCCAGGGATGGTGACTCAACCACTTCTCTGAGTAAGCATACAGCATGCTGCAGGTAAAGACAGGAATCTGACAAAAACAGCCCCTCTCCACGAAATGAATGTATCACTAGAGCGAAGAAGGATGAGAAAAGCTAAGAAGGAGGAGGAAAAAAAAACAAACATGTAGAAGTATGTGGGAACTCTTGAATCCCACAGCTACTTCAGGCGTGATTCTCTGAGATGCCAAGTACTTGGCAAAGACGTGAATTTTATTTATACTATAAACACTTTTGATAATACTAACAAATACTAAAAACTAAAAACTGTACTAAATGCTAACCAGCCCATGTTCACATCTCATTTCAAAAGTAGTTTTAACTTTGATAATTTTTTAGCCAGTCAAGGTAGGTCCAGGGAAAGAAGTCGGTCTATATTAAGATTCAATCTTAGATTTAACACCAGTGAAAAACAAAAAAATAACAAAGCCAAACGCACGCTTTTTTCTTCCTCATTATTTCACTTTTTCAGGAAGTACATCAATATAACTCAAAATAATATCTATACTAGAAGATCATAATTAAAACTTTAAATCAGATGAAGCGGAATTTGGGACCTAAAACCAGGACTTAGTCAAAGTGGTAGCAGAGGTAACTACCACCATTCCTAAATACAAAACACCTGCACCTTGTACAGCACTGTAAAATACACATGCAGCCACCCAGCTGTTTTACATGACACTCTGCAATTACAAAATACCAACTTTTCACAAAGTTTTAATAGTGTACATATTCACTTCTGAATACTGTAAGCATTTGTGTATGTAATTTTTTATTTAATAAGCCACAAGTTTATTTGTGGACTTAGAGAAATACATCATTGCTAGGTCAATTTTAGTAACTATTTTCTGAAACTACAAGAACTACCCTGTGCAGGATAGACTAAGCAGAGTTTCAAGACAAGCTACAGAACCAGTTTTAAACCAGCTAGGCGAGACAGAGAAAACGAGGCTAAGAAAGAGGAACAAACATGTAACCAAGCTTTATGAGGGCTAACATTAAAGCCATTTTGCGAACAGTGAAATTAGTAATGCATAGGTTCCTATACTCGGTCTCTACCCTTTCCCACGTAAAAATGCTAACTCCTCCCAGGTCTTCTACAACTACCTCCCTCCGCATTTCCTCCAGTTCCCTGCCTCTGGTCCCAAGTCTCAAAATTAGCTAGTATTCCTCATTTATCCTGCCTATTAAGTGGTCAGAAGCAATATAGCAATGTAGTTACTTCAGAGCTACATGCATGCCAAGTGGTCAGCTGGCAGGTAAAACAAAATATAAGCGATTAACCTGGAGATAAAATCTGCTACTTCAGGTCTCCCTCTGCTACTGAGCTGCCAATGTTCACAAAAATTATGAAAGCTGAGTATCTTTGAGATCTCTAATACTGTCAAATGAACAGATACTGGCCAACAGGTTTAAAAACTGGAAGGGCATGCTTACCGTCAATGTGATCACATCAGTGCAGTTGCCTAAGGAACTAGACTAGCAATGAAGAGGTTTACTTAACAGAGGCAATCATTTCTGGTTACTCTTTGTTTAGGATATTATTTTCAGTTGAGGCTCATTTGTCTGCATATTAACTCTACACATTAACTTAGCAAGTACAAAGCAAGTCTAAATTTTAAGATAGTCAAGCCTAAATACTAACTTAAGTTAGGACACCTGCTGTAGAAAATGCGCTAACATACAAAATGTTTTATCACGAAGTAGTGACAAAGCTACTACAATGAAAAATCATTGACATTTTAAATATACTAATAAGAACCCAAGCTCCATTTTCCAGTTAACAGACAATCTTAAAAATTCAAGCTCTAGGGAATCAAATCACACCTAGACTGCCATCCAGAACTTTCACCTACCTACAGTAAAATATGGAGATGCAGCTTTCATTACACTCAAGAGATCAGCCAAACTGGGATATGCCAGAACAAGAAAGGAAATTAATTTCAATTTGAGAAGCCTTTACAGAGAGCAGTCTATCCACCGCTTCCTCCCATTTATAGCAAAAGAGGTCTAACGATTCCACTGCACTCAACTTGCTCCCTCAAGTAACTGGGTCTCAAAGCATTTATACCTTTAATGATTAAAAATAGTACTTCAGTTTCAACTCAGAACCTTATTACTTAACAGTACACATCATGAAAATGTTCTGAGACTAGAAAGAGAAATGTATGATACAAGCATCAAACTTAAAAATTAAGAAATTAATAATGCAATTGCAGAGGCAGGAACTAATGCACCAAACTCAAAGGTCCTAATGGAACACTGGCACTGAAGCAAACTCACTCACATGCTGAGAGAATGCAGAGAATACGAATTAATAAACTCTTAATCATGTCAGAAATTGCCTGAAAGCATACCAAAGCCACAAAGAAAAAGCAAGCACAGAGGAATCAAAACATGAGTTTACATACTGTCAGGACACAGAAAGAGGTAAACAAAATTTAGCACAACTGCTTTGATCTAACAGAAATGAGAGACCCACCAAAGTCCAGCTCTGATCCAGAGCAACCAGAACCCAGCACAGTTCTTACGGAAAACACTGTCACTAATAATGAGTAAGGGAATAACTGGAGTTAACAGCATACCATCCATGGCCTAGACTGGCAAAACATAGTCTTCATTATCTTTGGATTCAAGAGTAAAATGGAATGTGACAGCTGAATGAATACTGCAAATTAGCTGTTGAGCTAAGATTCAACAGCAAGAGTCTTGCAGATGTAGTGGGGCAAGTTCTGGTAACACACCTTCACTGAAAGCAGTTGAATGATGGTAGCGATAAATCTAGAAACAAAATCTAAAATGAATAAGTAAATCAAGCAATAAAATAAACATAGCTGCATACTTATCTCTATGTTTTCTCTACTTTGTACAAAAAAGATGGAAAAAATGTTCATTCTAACACACACATTCATGAACAAGCTACAAAATCAATGATATGCGATATTACCTGTAGTCTCTTCCATATCCATCCCAAACCTTCAGAATAGTAATTTGATACCAACAGGATTTATTTATAACGTTTAGAGACAAGTCCTTAAATTTTGAAAGAACACCAACTAGAAATCAATGAATAAAACTGACTTTTTCCTTCTCAATCTACCCTCTTAGAAAAAAAGTGACTACAGCGACAGCCTTTCACCATGACTGTAGGACACACATACCAAGGGAGTCCTCACTAACAAGGGCTTGCCTTCAGGTATATCACAAGGACCAGCTAGCTAAAGCACGATAGCTGATTAATTTTCAAGTTAAAATCCAAAGACTACTTCCAGCATATTAAAAAGGGGAGAGGATAGGGTTTTTTT